CCCCCGCCATGGGATCTATGTGACATTCCTCAGGCACTCCTAAAGGAAAAACAAATAGTTAACTTATAGAGATCACAATCCTACAAGATGGGCGTCTCCCTCAGTTTACAAATGTCTTAGCAATCTACAAGAACAAAGCATTCCTATCATGAATAACCTAGCTTCCAGAAGGAAATGTAGATAAAATTAAATGCCCTTATAACCTGCAGCCCATTGATAATTGAAGTAGGCAGAGTGTAATGTTCCTCCGGGAAGCTACCAACTATCTTAATGTTAATGCCTTACTAGAGGGGTAAACAACCTTAACTTGACAATGGCAAGGCCTTCGGTATCTTGTAGGTCCTCTTTAGGATATGAAAGTTCTTTTGAAACCTCCCTTTTTCCTTACCGCCCCCAACCCCATAGTATATAATCAGCCATCCCTCACAACCCCCGGGCAGCAGCTCTTTCTGTCCGTGGGTCCTGTCCCCGTGCTATAATAAACCACCATTTTGCACCATTGCACCAAAGACGGCTCAAGACTTCTTTCTTAGTCGTGGGCTCCGGACTCCACCCCACTGAACCTCACCTATATCCCAAAACCCCATCATCTGGGTGCTTCCTCCCTCCCTCCCAAAGCCCAGAGGTCTGAGCCCCAAATCCCTCTACGTAAAGGCCTCCTATGGCTCCCGGGTGCCTTCATGACGTCGTAGGGATGCCTCAGCTTGAAGACCCAGGCTCTCCACACAGAACCTCCCTGAAGTCAGGAGATGCTGAAAACCACTTCCTTTTATTTAAGTATTCCAGTTAATTCAGAATAGACCAAAAATTAAAACAAAAAGGGCAAACAGGGCTACAAAAATTGTGGGGCATTTTTAACGTTATTTTGGGCAAAAGAAAGCATGAACATGCCCCAAACCCAATTAACCGTAATTACGCTGTTCACAGGTAACCGCCAAGGGTTCGCACACTGTTATTTCAGGGCCCACAACCGCGGGCGCCCTGGCGAGGAGGCCGGGGGTTTATCAGATGGATCTGCGCTAGGTCGGCGCTCGGGGCCTAAGGACCAGTCCCCTGGGGCAGCCTCGACCCCAGGACGGCCCCTCCCCACCCACCGGCGCGCCGAACCCCGCACCCAGGAGCGTCCGCAGAGACTGCGTTCCAGCTCGCAGGACCCCCGGGAGCCGTACCGCGAGTCGGGAAACTGAACTCCGCCGCGAACCCTCCACGGAGCCCGCGAGGGGGCGCGCCCGCCCTAATCCTCCCCAGCGGAGCCCGGTGGGAAGGCGGGGGCTCGCTCCCCGCGCCACGCGGCTCGACCAATGGGAGCGCGTGCAGCGGGGCTCCGGGGTCCGCGCCGCGGGTGCTGAAAACCCGGCGCGCGCAAGCGGGACCGTTCTCCGCGCTCGCGAAGGTGGCGCGTTCTACCCCACGGGCCCGGAGCGCGCGCCTGACCACCTCTGCCCGGATGGACTCCGAGACCGCTACCCAGGCGCCGACCCAGCGCTACTTCACGTGGGACGAGGTGGCGCAGCGCTCCGGGCACGCGGCGGAGCGGTGGCTCGTGATCGACCGGAAAGTATACAACATCAGCGAGTTCTGCCGGCGGCACCCCGGGGGCTCCCGGGTCATCAGCCACTACGCGGGGCAGGATGCTACGGTGAGCGCTGCCCGACCTAGGCACGGGAGTGGGCGGGGCCGGGCGGCTGCCGCTGGAGGTTGAGTGCGCCAGGCAGGAAGTTTGGCACCCACGGACGAACTCCCAACTGATGCGGGGGAAGAGCCAGCAGGCGTCGAGCGTACCCGTTGCCCACGACTTAGCACGGGATGCAAGGGCAGGAGAATGGCTGTGAAAACTGGAATCAGGAGAGTGGGGATGGAGGCCGGCAACGTGCCCACACAAACAAAGGACTGCGCCGCCCGTGTGCGTGCGTTCCGTCTGTGGCCCCGTCTTTGGTCGCCAGACGTAGGCAGACGTACCCGAGAGCAGGACAAGCAGGGAGGAAGGCCAGGATGCAGGGTGCCGGGGACGGCGGAGCGGCTGAGGCCGAGGGAGGGAGGGGTCAGCGGCAGGAAGAGGGAGTCTCGAACTGTCTCGGTGGGTGCGAAGGGAGCGCAGTGGGCGTCTAGACTGCGCGTGCCGGCTTGCGAGTGGGAGCAGGAGAGGGAAGCGTTCTCGGGGATAGGGCCGAGGCGGGAAGCCAGCCAGTGCCCGTTGCCGTGGGAACCGCCGTACAGGGTGAGGGGGCGGGTGGGCGGGCAAGGCCAAAGCTTGCAGCGGTCACCCGGACTGACCACTGGGAAGCCGGGACTGCCGAGAGCGAAGAGGTGGGCGCTAGCGCATGCGCAGACAAAGCAGGCACCGACGCAGGGTCTTCACGCAGTGTGATTTGGGGCCGGGGCTGGGGCCGGCCGCAACGGGGATAGCGATTGGTCCAGATGTGTGGTGCCACCGGCCGCCGGCTCCGCCCCGGCTCCCGCCTCTACTGCCGCTTACCCCCTAAGGCCTGGGACCGCCTGACCTACCAAAACCAAAAGTAGACGCTCTGCGGCAGGGGGTGGTCAGAGTCTTAGGGGAAATAATAGAACCCTACCAGGAACAGCGGCAGAGAGAAGGGGGAGAAATGCAAAAGTTCCCAGTTCGGAGGTAGGGAGTCTTCCTACTCACATTTTATGAAGAACGCTGGCTCAGAGGGGATCTATTAGAAGTCCCATAGGTAAAAACAGAAGTCTCAACAGCCCCACCCATCCCTTCTAGCTGTTTCTCACCTAGATCTTAAATTCTTGTACAAGAGCTGTCCCTAGACACGCCTAAAGGACAGGCCAGCCTGGCGGACAGGCCGGCCCAGAGAAGTCTTTCTGTGGTCACCCCTACCCACACTTCTTATTCCTTGCTCTGGTGCCCTTTTCACTAGAACACATGCTGGGTGTTCCTGAGCTGTGCACACACCTGGGAAAGGTCTAAGCACCCTCAAAGGGCAGCTGACTGGAGGGAAGTGGTATCTCTTTGAACTTGGATACAGCCTCCTTGCTGGATCAGGAGGATGGCCTCTGGTGTGAGCCCTCCAGGAGCCCCGGGGGCTCGGGCTGGCTTCCTAACCGCTCTGTCTTCTCCCTAACCTTGCAGGATCCCTTTGTGGCGTTCCACATCGACAAGGGGCTTGTGAGGAAGTATATGAACTCTCTCCTGATTGGAGAACTGTCTCCAGAGCAGCCCAGCTTTGAGCCCACTAAAAATGTGAGACTCTGCTGTTTGGAGACACTTTGATTGTTGAAGGGCAGGGGGGAGAAGGAAGGCCTAGATAAGATCAGAGTTGATCACAGCCAGTAGTTTTTTTTTTTTTAAGATTTATTTTATTTGAGAGAGAGAGAGCATGAATGGGATGAGGGGCAGAGAGAGAGATAGATTCCCCATTGAGCAGGGAGCCCTATGCGGGGCCCGATCCCGGGACTCTGGGACCATGACCTGAGCTGAAGGCAGACGCCTAACCAACTGAACCACCCAAGCGCCCTCACAGTCAGTAGTAGTTCTTGTGAAATCTTGAGGTCCCTGTTTCTCCCACAGTCACTGGGACACAGGCATAATGAGCAGGGCTTTGAAACCTACGGCTCTCACAAGGCCACCACCACTACTACCCTCATCAAGACCTATTAAGCATGTACTCTGTGTCCGCCATAACCACATAGAACCCATACGCATTTACAGACGAGAAAGCTGAGGCTCAGGGAGGGTGAGCAGTGTGGCCAAGAATCACTGTTAGTAGATGGCGGAGCAGGGACTTGAATCAAGTCTGTTTAACTCCAAAGACCACATGCTCTCAGGCTTGATCCCTCAGCACGTCTTTCCTCAGTGTTGTGGTAGACTTACTTAGGATTATGGACTTCCCACAGCTATCTGGGGGTGGGGGGTCCTGGAGCCTAAGAGGGCCCCTGTGTCCAGCAGTGTTGGGTTACAGCTGGGAAGAATAACAGCCCCTCCCTCTCACTCTTCCACAGAAGGAGCTGATTGATGAGTTCCGAGAGCTTCGGGCCACAGTGGAGCGGATGGGGCTCATGAAGGCCAACCATGTGTTCTTCCTGTTGTACCTACTACACATCCTGCTGCTGGACGTAGCTGCCTGGCTCACTCTTTGGGTCTTTGGGACATCCCTTGTGCCCTTCCTCCTCTGTGCAGTGCTGCTCAGCACGGTTCAAGTGAGAGCTCTTGGCTAGTCAAGGGCACAGCTGTGCTCAGCATCCTCATCCTTGGGGAAAGCTCTTTGTATGCCTCAGAAGGCCAAGAAGCCCGGCCCTGTGACCGGGGCAGCACTGAGGATATGGGAGAGAGTTAGCGCACAAAGACATTTTATCATCTGTGCCTTTTACCTGCTCCTTAACCACATGTGCACCTTCACTTTGCTCACCCAAGTGTAGCCCAGGTGTGCCAAGAACCAAGATTCTGATTTCTCAGAAAAGCTTGGCTTTCTCCTCACCACCACATTGCCCAACATGCTAATAAGGCTTAGAACCTGCTATCAGAACCCATTTCCCAAGCCTGCTACTCGCCTCTGAGTTTGTCACTCTGTCCTTTTTTGTAGTCTGGATATTCACTTCATCATAAGTCCTAGGACTCCAGAGAGTTCTATGGGAACTCTTCCAGGGAACTGAAGAACAGGGAAAGGATAGTGACTTGCCCGAACGCTCGCATGAGTTAGGGGCAGAGCCCGAGTTAGGACCCAGGCTTCCTGACTCCTTTCCTGACATGCTCGAGGTACTGTGGCAATCACAGGGCTAGGCAGACGAAGGAAGGGGGTGAGGCGGGAGCCACTGAGGTCACTGAGATGGAGCCTGGGCGGGTGGGCTGCTCTCAGCGCTAACCTTTCTCACTCAGGCCCAGGCCGGCTGGCTGCAGCATGACTTTGGGCACCTGTCTGTCTTCAGCACCTCCACCTGGAACCACCTGCTACATCATTTTGTGATTGGCCACCTGAAGGTCAGTGAGCTGGGGAGGGGCTCTTGAAACTCCAGTCAATGAAGGGGTTTCCTTGGGGGGATGGGGGAATGCTAGGCTTTCATACTCATGTCCCTGCTTTTCTGTAGGGGGCCCCTGCCAGTTGGTGGAACCACATGCACTTCCAGCACCATGCCAAGCCCAACTGTTTCGGCAAAGACCCAGACATCAACATGCACCCCCTCTTCTTCGCCTTGGGGAAGATCCTCTCTGTGGAGGTGAGTAGAAATATCAGTGGAAAGGTCTTGGGAGAATGGCAGCCAAGCAGAAGAGAGGGCTCTGGGGCAAATGTTCACAATGCTGTCAGTGTGGGTGAGAAGTGAGGCCAGGCTGGCTTGCTGGCAGTCGCCAGAGGCAACAGGCAATAGATAAGCTGCCCAGGACAGAATCACCTGTTATCCCTGGTGAGTGCAAGCCAACAGTTATTGCATAAACGTACCTCATGCTGCAAGGGATCCAAACAATGACCAAATTACTGTGCAGATCTCTGCAAATCGAATGGATGGTCCTCCTTGGGGATGCTTTTTAGATATTCCTACCCCAGGCAGTCACCCCCACCCCCACCCCCCGCAACTTTGATATCCTACTGTGTGCAGTCTTCCCCATCAAGGGCTGGACCGACTGTCTTACTCTTCTTTGATGCCCAGTCCCTAGAACATTCATTCGCTGAGTAATTCTTCCCACCCATCTGACCCCAGCCTGACTTCCAGGGTGGTCAGTGTTGGGTTTGAGTTATCACCTGAGGTTATGAGCAAAAATTGTAATGCAGCTGCTAAAGGATGAATGCCTGAGGGTGGAGATCTGGAGAGCTTTTGGTGAACATAAGGCATAAGGCCATAGGAGGCTTTGAAATGGCCAATAGAGTTGTTTGTAAGGTTACTTTAAAACCTTCTGTGCCAGGGTGCCTGGGTGGCTCAGTCGTTAAGCGTCTGCCTTCGGCTCAGGTCATGATCCCAGGGTCCTGGGATCGAGCCCCACATCTGGCTCCCTGCTCGGCGGGAAGCCTGCTTCTCCCACTCCCCCTGCTTGTGTTCCCTTTCTCGCTGTCTCTCTCTCTGTCAAATAAATAAAAATCTTTAAAATAAAAAAAATTAAGAAAAAAAAAACCTTCTGGGCCGAGACTCTAGGCTGCAGTTAAGAGTCCCGCCAGTTCCCCCTCCCCCCCCACTGTATGATACTTCGGCGTGCCAAGAATTCAGACTGTTCCATCCTAGGCATGAGTGAGTGCAAGGTAGCCTGGCTGTCCTCCCCCTCTGGCCAGGAGATGGACTCTATGGAAAGGCTTTTACAGCATTGGCTGTCCTGGCACCAGGAGCCCCTTGTTGAGGCTTATGCCCCACCTTTCCATAATGTCCTAATTTTCCTACTTCCTAAGCAAGGACTTGGTTTGCTACACGTCCAACACTGTATTATGGTCGGTCAACAGTGTGCGGATGATGGATCAGCCCTGGCCCCACCTGTGTGGGTGATTTGTTAGGCAGAGCATCTAGTTCTTGGTAGCACTTCTGTCACTACAGAGGGTTAAAAAAAAAAAAGGTGGGAGTTTAAGTGGAAGAGAACCTTCTCACACCACTGCCTTTATTGCTTCTTGGTACTAGGGTTTTCAAGAAACTCCCATTTGCAGACACTAAAAACAGAAAGTGATCTAGGATCGATAGATATTTTTCTGTCTAGTTATGAGCCTGAGGATGGGCTGCCTATTAGTAAATGCCTTGGCTGCAGGCTGCTTGGCCTTTGCTTCAGCCCCTCTGGGAGCTGATCGCCATGCTAACCCCGGGGCATCCACCTCAGTGCCTCCCAAGTCTCCTGGAGAACAAGAAAACGCAGGGGACACCTCACCCTAAATACAAACTTTCTGGCTCCGTCCGAGAGTTGAAACACAATAGGACAGTTATTAGGATCCTAATAGCATCTGATTGCCATTCAAGGAGGCAGCAGTGGACAGGGCTCCCTTCCATAACAGTTCCAAAATAGGCCAGTGTCTTCCCACTCACCCCCACCAAACATGACAGGTGCTCCTCATCTGCTTTTCCCCATAGAGGATGGGGTGAACTTCACCCCAACATCCAGTTTATCAGCAAGCCTTGTTAATACTGTCTCTAAAACATCCCAAATCCATTGACTCCTCCATCTCCATTGCTTCCCATCCCTGCCCCCCCCAATCCATCTTGGAGCCTGATTCCTGCTCCAGCCTCTTCACTGGTCTGCCTGCAACTACACCTCCCCCCACTACAGTTCATTCTCTCCTCCTGCAGGCTGAGTGAGCCTTTCGAAGTGCAAAGCCGATAATGCTACACCTGTTGAAAGCCGTCCAGTGGCTTCCTATCACCACTGGAACAAAACCCAGGCTCGTTACCAAGGTCTTCACAGGGCTCTCTAAGGTCCACTGTGAATTGGCCTTCCCTAGTTGTCCAGCCTTGTCAGTCCCCCTGCCCTGTTGCTTACTGTTCCGGCCACACTGCCCCTTCTGTCCCTCAAACGTCCTGCACCTTTGTACTAGCTCTTCCCTCTGCATTAAATGCTCTTCCCCTGAATTCCTGCTTTGCTGGCTCCTTTTCATTCAGGTCTCAGTCCAGATGTCAAAAGCTCAGAGAGACCCTATCTGACCCCCAGAGCCAAAACGCTGCCTCCCTCACTTTGTCCTATTTTCCTGTAATTACCTAATTAGTTCTGTTCACACGTTTGTCACCAGCTTCCTCTCCTCAAATTATAAGCTCCATGAGAGTAGGAACTTTTGTGTTGCTCACCTCTGTATCTTCAGCACCTAGAAGAGTGCCTGGAACATAATAGGTGCTCAGTAAATTCTTGTTGAATTTAATCGGTTAATACAGAAAGCATGCTTCATTTAGCAGAAATGCCTTGCACAGAATCAATCAATCAATAAGAATAAATGTTATTGTCAAAAACAGCGGGTAGATGCACAGAAGAAAGAGGGACTGGCGTTCCACTAGGGAGTGGAGTACCTCCTGTGCTCTGGGCTCATCCGGTTGCTAGAACTAACTGGGGCAAGAGGGGCAGAAGGAGCCATCAAGTGAGACAGCAGAGCTTTGCTGTCATGATTTTGGGTGCCCATGCGGGCATTCAGGCTGACTGACCTGACAGCACCAGCCCGTCTCTTCAGCAGCTAGGCTTATAAAATAATCACTACCCACTGGGAAAAGCCTTGCCAGAACCTTCAGATTGCCAAGTTGTTCTGTCCCTTTCCGCCAGTATTTGCCAACTTCGCTTAGCATTCAAGGGATTTTATAAAGTTCATGTTGTAATCAAGAGACCAAAAGAGGGTCTGGATGGATGGATATAGAGAGAATACTGGCCTGTGTGGGGGTATAAATGGTTGTCTATGGTCAAAAAAGTACCAGATGGATGGGGCGCCTCAGTGGCTCAGTTGGTTGAGCGTCCGACTCTTGATTTTGGGTCAGGTCATGATCTTGGGGTCCTGGGATCGAGCCCCAGGCTCTGTGCTTGGTGGGGAGTCTGCTTGGGATTCTCTCCCTTTTCCGCCTCCCCACTCACTCCAAAGTAAGTAAACAAATCTTAAAAAAAAAAAAAAAAAAAGTACTAGTTAGGAAAAGGGGAGAGGATGTGGAGGGGCCTGGAAACCTTAAGACAAAGGTGTCTTTGGATGACGTGAGGAGTCCTGAGGACCTGCAGAGTCTGCAGTGCTCATGCCTCTTGTGGGCAGGGGCCATGGAGCTGTATGCCATGGTGTGTGCACCTGGCCGATCACAGCCTGGGCCTTCCTGCGCCAGGTGCTAGAGGTAAAGCCAGGCCTGCTGGAACATTCTAACAGCACCAACAAGCTCAGCCGACAGCCCCTGGAGTAGGTCTCAACTCCTGAGCAGGGAAAAGCCAAGGTCATAGGGGGAAGGGAATGGGGTGACTGGTCTGTGGGTACTGATTTGTGTTTGCTTTTCTTCACAGCTTGGGAAAAAGAAGAAAAAGTACATGCCATACAACCACCAGCACAAATACTTCTTCCTGAGTGAGTGTCCTCATCCAACACAGAGGGACTCTTGGGATGGGGGTGCTGAAGGGGTGTCAGGAAGAAATGACTTTCTGAAGGATTATGGTATTTTAAGTAAAGACTGGAGGAAGTACCCTGTCCCTGACTGGTTACTCCCTGCATGGGAGCAGACTACCATCTCAGTTGAGCAAAGTTAACAGGCTAATATTTGGTCGAGCATCATGTGTATCGGGGCAGAGGAGTTCCTCTGGTCTCACCCTGGCTTCCACAAGAGCATTGAGCGGTCAGGTACAGCCCTTTTGATTAAACCTTAAACCTTGGGAAACAGACTTGGGCCAAGTTGACTCTGTGGGGCAGTCCACCACCCAGGGGGATAAAGGCAGACATGGCTATGGGAGGACTGGACTCAAAAAGGAAGTGGAAAGGCTGTTAGAGCTGAAAAGGAGTATATTTCTGTGGTTGTCTTAAGCTCTCTCTGAAGGCTGTTCTATATTCCTTGCTTTTAAAACCTTCCTAATGCCTAAAATTTGAGTTTTCAAATTTTTAAAGGAAGGGAAAGGAGGATTCCATTGATCCCATTTTAGTTCAAAGGAATTTATCCTAACTGCCTATTATGAACCATCACTACTGGAGAAAGGGGATGGGGTAGAAGAGTAGAGCAGAAATGTCTGGAAGAATTTTAGAATCCATGGCACATCAGGATAGAGGAGCCATAGGTGAGCACGCTCGTGCAGGGGGTTATAGGGAGCTTCAGGGCCCTGCAGAGAAGGGATACAGAAAAGGAAATGGGACAGCATTCGGACGGGACCACTTCTTCGAATCCCTTCCCACACCTGCCCTCCAGGGCTTCAGGTTGGGCGGTACAAGCTCATTTCCCTAATCCAAAGAAGTAAGCTTGCAGCCCACTGAAGCATGAGCAGCCCCACCCCACCCCACCCCACCCCAACACACATGCAAACTTTCCTGCTCCTGTCCCTTCGCCTGCAGGCAGAGCATCCAGGAACGCAGGGCAGGTGACTGCAAGGACAGGCAGGGGCAGGCCAGGGAACACGGGGAGAACCCGCAGTGGCCTTCTAAAGGCTTGGCAGCACAGCGGCTTCTGGGCATGGAGCTCGAGAATGGAAAAGAATGCCACTCCCACCCTCACCCTCCTGGCATCCTCTTGGGAGGTTTTGCCTTCTTCAGACCTGCACTCATGCCCACCTTCAGGGCCTGCCGGTTCCAATGGAGTGAGGAATGCCAAGGCAGCTGGAAGGGGCCACAGGAAGAGATGGCAAGGGGGTGGCCCCACGCCGGAGGCCACCTCTCAGGCACTGAACTGCCCTCATGCTGCTCACACCTCCTCCCTGTCTCCATTTCCTTCCCAGTTGGGCCCCCAGCCTTGCTGCCTCTCTACTTCCAGTGGTATATTTTCTATTTTGTTATCCAGCGGAAGAAGTGGGTGGTGAGTATCCATGGCCCCCAAGTTCCACATCCTTTGTCTTCAGAATCCTGAGGGAGGGGAATGGGGGTTCTCCAGAGGAAAGCTCACTGAGATTTACTCCAGGCCTAATTTAGAGCAAAGTTAACAGAACTGAGTATAGACCTTCCTTGTCTCTAGATGGGATGATCTGGACTCAGCAGACAGCCTGACTCCCAACGCCCTATTTCTTTTTTTTTTTTAAAAGATTTTATTTATTTATTCATTCATTCATTTATGAGAGAGTACGCACACACAGGCAGAGGGAGAGGGAATCTCTCAAGTAGACTTGGTGCGGAGCATGGAGCGCCAGGCTCAGTCCCACGACCCTGAGATCATGACCTGAGCCAAAACCAAGAGTCGGATGCTCAACTGACTGAGCCACCCACCGATGGCCTATTTCATTGAGCTGGTACCTCCTGAGGTTCTTGTGCTTGTCATAAAGCCAAGAGCCAGGCTTGGGGGTGGGGAAGAGGTAGACGCAGAAGGTTCTAGGATTCCAAAAGGGTCTTGCCTGCCTCTGGCTGGATGAGAGGCATTAGAAAAGGCTTTGTGAAGTCACTTTTGTAGCTGGGTCTTGGAGGATAGGCAAAGGTGGGGTTGCGGGGGGATGGACTCTGAGCAGAGAAGCTGGGAAGTGAGGGGCAGTTTTGGTCACTTGGACATGTTGTGGACTCGTGCCAGGGGAGAATTGTGGTGCAGAAGAAGTGCTTGATCAGGGCACTGGCACAGACCGAGCCTCTGTCCTGGAAGATTCATTTGGCAGCATGATGAAGGGATAAAGAACTTTGATGGGTTGGGAGGAGCTGGAGGCAGGGAGACCCCTGTAGGCCTTGGCACCTGTGAAGGAAACAGGCAAGGAGGACTGGGGGGCCCCGCCAGGAACGGAAGGAAGGAGTGGGGTGGCATGAGATATTGCAGGACTGGGCGACGAAGAGAAGCTGACGGTGACAGAATGTTCCACTCTGGGTTCCTGGCAGAGTGGCTGTACCTTGCAAATAGGTGAAATGAAAGGAAGAGGGAGAAGTGCTTTGTGCCAGTCATCATGCTCTCTGCCTCTCAATGTAGGACTTGGCCTGGATGATCACCTTCTACGCCCGCCTCTTCCTCACCTACGGGCCGTTTTTGGGACTGAAAGGCGTCCTGGGCCTTTTCTTCCTGGTCAGGTAGTATTTGATGGGGAAGGAAGGGTGGCAAAAAAAAGCTGATGTTTGGGAATAATGAGTCTGGTCTGGGGGCTGTGCTGGGGCTTTAGGCGGCAGGGGGTGTCCCAGGTGTTGGCTTGGGCAGATGGCCAGGCCAGAGGTTATCTGAGGGAGAAGAGCTCTCACTTGTACTGTTTTTAAAGTCTGTGTACCATACCCACCAGGTTTCTGGAAAGCCACTGGTTTGTGTGGGTCACACAGATGAACCATATCCCCATGCGCATTGATCGCGACCGGAACATGGACTGGGTCTCCATCCAGGTAAGGGACAGTCACTTGGAAGATCTGGGGATGACACAACTAATGAAAAAGGCGGGTGGGCACAGATGCAGGCTAGGGGGTGGGTGTCCCTAAACAGCACTGCCTCATTAGCTTAAAGCTTCTCTCCTGCCACCATGTGGAGAAGGGAGTGACCAGGGACCGTCCCCCCCCCCTTAGCCAGCTTTGCCTGGAGAAGGCTGGGTTGGCCTTTCCATCTGGCACCCAGAGCCACGCTCTCCCCTGCCCTCTTCCTCCAGCTCCACGCAACATGCAATGTCCACAAGTCTGCCTTCAATGACTGGTTCAGTGGACATCTCAACTTCCAAATTGAGCACCAGTAAGTAGGGAGACCTGAGAAGCAGGGTCCTTGGGAGGGTCCCTATGGGGAAAGTGGGGAGGTGGAAAGAGCAGAGTAGGGGCCACTGACGGTCCCGTTCTCCCTGAAGTCTTTTCCCCACGATGCCTCGACACAATTACCATAAAGTGGCTCCCCTGGTGCAGTCCCTGTGTGCCAAGCACGGCATAGAGTACCAGTCCAAGCCCCTGCTCGCAGCCTTCGCCGACATTATCTAGTGAGTACCTGAGCCTGGGAACAGGGCAGGCAATGGGGCTGGTGCTGTGTGGGGTGGGAGCAACAGGCAGGGTCCCCCTGGAATGGAGGCCACCAAGACAAAGGCAGGGTGCTCTGCTGGTCTTGCAGCCAAGTCAGGCCTTTGTTCTCAGTGCCATGGCCCAAGCTAGTTCTCGGAAGCAAACAGGAGGATAGGGGCCATATGCCATGGAGATCAGCCTCCATTCCTCTGTAAGAGCCCCACTACATGTCTGTAGGGTGGTTTGGCTTTTGGGCCTAGCTCTGCGCGTGCGCTCACTCTCCCTCTCACTTCCTGCTCCCATCTTGCCCCACAGCTCACTGAAGGAGTCTGGGCAGCTCTGGCTAGATGCCTATCTTCACCAGTAACACCCCCCCACCCCAAATCTGGAAGAGATGCCTGTCTTCACTGATAATACCAGCCCACCTGGAAGAGGAGTTTCTGGCACCAAAGCAGAGGGGGGCTTGAGGGACAATGCCACTGTAATTATAATATTCGGGGGGGGGTTTGAGGAGATAAAGGCTCAACTCAAACCCTTCCCCTTTATCTTCCCGGCACAGATCTAAGACCCAAATGGCTAGGGGGACATACATGCCCCCTGGAGGGAGGGAAGGAGCTACTGGGGCAGAGATGTGGGAGTTTACTTTGCTTTTTCTAGTTTGGCAGATACAGATGCTTGGTGAGCAAAGAGGGAGTCAGAGGGTGTTGGAAAAATAGGGAGGACATACTGAGCCCCAAAATCAGTAAGAGATTTAACATTACAATTCCAGCCAGGAAAGGGGTGAGCCCATCTCACTGGTTTGCTTCTCAGTGCCTTCTCCACCCTCTACTATCTGAGGAGATAGAGCGGCTGAACCTTCCAAGCAAGATTTAGGTTTGAGGCCTGGTGTAGTGCACTGCCTGGGAGGCTCAGCTCACTCTAGGGCTAGGTGAGACCTAGGTCTGCCTCAGGCTCCTGGAGAAGCAGTTTTCCCACTTCTAGAAGCAGGCAGAGCAAAGCCAGGACTGTGGTGCTGGAGACATCTGACTTTGAAGGATCCTGGCATTATCGATTCTGAGCTTATGTTCCATCCAGGGCACCCAAGGAGCATTAGGTCGTAGTTCTTGCCAAAATAGCAAGGAGAGTTTACTGGCCATTCAAAATCCCCTTCACCTTGGGATCACCTCTTGTAACCACCACTCAAGGAATAAGACACTCCTAGGATGGAGTCCACTTCTTGATTCTTCATCCATAAACAAGTGAACAGATGGGACAGCTTCTTCTCCCTAAAAACAAATGGGGGTTCCCAGTGCTTTCCCTTTGTCTTCCTACCTGTAATTCCACGTTTAACAAAGTAGTTAGCACAAGTGACCATGTTGGGAGACCCCGAACTGCAGTCCTAAAGAATATAGTGGTTGTTAAGAAATGTTCTACAACCTAAATTATGTTACAGTATTACTTCTGAGTGGGAACAGTGAATTAAATATAATCACTTCACAGTTCTAAACCAGAGATAGGAAGATAAAAACAGTTTGTGAACTATCAACTCTGTTCAAGCATCTTCTCGGCTGGACACCAGGTAGGAATTTAGGATAATCTCTTAAAAAGCCTATCCATCTAGGACTCTGAAAAACAAACTGAGGGTTCTAGAGGGGAGGGGGGTGGGGGGATGGGTTAGCCTGGTGATGGGTATTAGAGAGGGCACGTTCTGCGTGGAGCACTGGGTGTTATGCACAAACAATGAATCATGGAACACATCAAAAATTAATGATGTAATGTATGGTGATTAACATAACAATAAAAAAATTTAAAGGAAAAAAAAAGCCTATCCATCTAATACTGAAATACAGTTTTTTTTTTTTTTTAAATCTCCTGGTTCTTAAAGGTAACAGTTTAACCCATCTCTTAAGCAAACCAAGGAATGAGCCCAGGAGTCTTGCCTTAACCCCCAGGGCTTGTCATCTGCATTCACACCCAAAGCCACAGCCTTCCCGCCAGGTGAGGGGGTGATTTGCCTGTTCAACAGCACCTACTCTTAAGCATAGAGCATTTTGGATATGGAGAAGAGGAAACTCAAACTAGAAGGAAAAAGCAGAGCCGTAGGAGAGTCCACATTTCGTTGTAGGAGAGGATAAAGGTCATCTGAAAGTGAGCTTCAATGGGGTTAGGATACCACTTGTGGAAAGGCTGTGGGGATGACTTAAGAGGTTTGTCAAAACAAAGATTAAAGAGACAACAGGGGCAGGACCGGTTGCAAAAGAGTTCAGCTCAGGCACCTGGGTGGCTCAGTTGGTTAGGCGACTGCCTTGGGCTCAGGTCATGATCCTGGAGTCCCGGGATCGAGTCCCGCATCGGGCTCCCTGCTCAGCGGGGAGTCTGCTTCTCCCTCTGACCCTCTTCCCTCTCGTGCTCTCTATCTCTCATTCTCTCTCTCTCAAATAAATAAATAAAATCTTTAAAAAAAAAAAAAAAAGAGTTCAGCTCTTCCCCATTTGGGCAGAACCTGGTTTGAAAGAGCCTGGGTAGAAAGACTAGAAGCAGGATTGAAAAGTTCTTTCATTGGCTTCCTCGCTCCAGAATAGGTGCCGATCCTGCCCCATCCCTCTGGTCCCTACTACCCAAGGTTTAGGAGTTCTGTCACCAGCCTGTCAAGCCATCTGGCTGCTAATCTGAGCAAACCCAGTGTGGCTTACTGAGCCAAGTCCAGGTCCTCAAAGCACTTCAACCACTGCGGCCTTCTTTCCTTAACCTAGACCAGTGAGGTCTCACATGGCCACAGAGGGACACGTTGGTGACAAAAAGGCTCAACACTGTTTTAACAGCACGATGAGTGATCTCAAATCTAAGCAATGACATGAGAAAACAAGCTTAAGACAAGTCCCCTCCAGTCACAGATTGTGGCAAAACATCTGAACTCAGTGTTTTAGAATTCCAACCTACGTGTTTTATCTTTGTTAGTCTCACCTTCCCACCACTTTACTGGAAGCACTTTCTTTAATTAGGCCCCACATCTGTATCCTTTTTGTGTGTGCCAATTTTGTTACCACATCCAGACAAGGAAAGATGAAAAATAAAGTTCATTTTGACCAAACGAAGGCTATTCACTTATAATCCACGATTTTCTTCTGCACATGTCAATGGGACTCCCCGTGCCAGTGCTGTAAGTTACTACCTACCTACCTCTATGGCTGGAACCTTCTGACCAGGAGTTCCCAGACTCCTTTGCACAAGGCCTTTGGGCAGAACAAAGGGATCCTCCCAAAGAATACCAAGGCACAGGTAGGCTATGGCAAGGAAAAGCAAAGCCAACCCCTTCTCAGGACCCCTCTATGTTTGGGTGTTAGACTGCTCAGTAACACTAGCCAGGTGTGCATGCGTCTCCTGTCATGAGGCAATACCCTCACCCTTTCGATAGTCTCAATACGGGTAGTCCCTAAAAGTCTACTGTTTGCCTGAGTCTTTCTCTGCAGGCGCAATGCTTCAGAGTGGGACTGCAAAGCAATGCCTTTTAACCCCAATCCTGCTAGAACAGCTCCCTTTGAGCAAGACCATGAGAACATGCTAGGTAAAAATTTGCAGAACTGGTTTTCCCTGCAACGTGCAGTGGTTAATAAACTAGAAAAGACCAGACAACTCAACTTGAAAAAACACGAGGAGGGGTGCCTTGGTGATTCAGTTGGTTAAGCATCTGCCTTTGGCTCAGGTCATGATCCCAGAATCCTGGGATCAACCCCCACAGCAGGCTTCCTGCCCTGAGCATCTGCTTCTCCCTCTGCCCCTCCCCCACCCTGCTCATGTGCACATGCACACTCTGAGATAAATCCTTTAAAAAAAGAAAAGGGGCAATTAAAAAAAAATTGTTAAAAAAGGGGGGGCGCTTGGGTGGCTCAGTCGTTAAGCATCTGCCTTCGGCTCAGGTCATGATCCCAGAGTCCTGGGATCGAGCCCCACATCGGGCTCCTGGCTCAGTGGGAGCCTGCTTCTCCCTCTCCCCCTCCCCCTGCTTGTGCTCCCTCTCTCTCTGTATCTGTCTCGAATAAATAAAAAATCTTAAAAAAAAACTAAAAGAAAAAAAACAGGAAAACCACTCTACACGTCTGACTACTACAGGGCACAAGCCCTTAACTAGAGCTACGGCACTGAGACCATCACTCCCTAAGAAGTCTTTCCACCTCTGGGAACCATCATCATCACCACAGACTTAGATTACTCGGCACTCCCACAAGTTGTGTCGCTTAGTCCAATCTGACAAAACCCGTTCCATTCAAATAATGGATACAGCAGTGAACAAAACCAAGATCCCTGCCCTCAGAATAGAACTGTCTATACCAGTGGTTTGGAAGTCCCCTAGTTATATGAGAGCACTGTTGGGGAGACTGTCCAACTCCTGCTTCAACCAGAGAAGCTCAAATCCTGAGGTTCCACATAAAATTTCACTTGAAAAACAGGTTGCGCCATGAGAAATTTTGAAAACCACCAGTCTTTAGTCTACCCGCTTAATCTGTTAGAATATTAGTAGTTTAAATTTCCGGTTGCTTAAGTGTGCCTGTTAACTTCAAATGGCAGTGACAGGAATGCTAAAAAATTAGAAACTCCCCACCAAGTTTTATCAGGATTATAAAATTTTTAAAACATTCCATCTCTATGGGAAACGGCAACCCGAATTTGATGTCACAGAAGGAGCATGAAAGTTATTTCTGAAGTGCAGGTTTTTCACAATTTATAAACTGGTAAGGTAAAAGCTTGGATGCTATGAAGTAGTTGATTGAAATTGTGAGATTTTCTCAAAGGAGCTCCTTTATCTCACACAGGAGGTGGGAAACTAGAAACCCATTCAATTTATTAAAACTTCTTTCCTAGTTAAACTAGGCATCCTCCTCCAAATGGCCGAAGTACTGCCAAAGCTACTTTAGCCATTCTATGGGGTGTGGCGCCATCTTGTGGCCACCCTCAAACCTCTTGTAACGGTACAATTCTGGGGTGTTCTCTTCAGTGCGAAAAGAACATTACAATGCCTGAAGCCTGGGGACGCTCAAGATGTTTTCAAATGTTCTCAGAGAACGTGACAACCTGGTTACTTTTATAATTTTATTGACTTTTCTCATATCTTTAAAACAAAACAGCACATGAAAATAGCATCTTATCCCAAAGTCTCAACTCAGTTGACTGCCTCAGAGAGGACATTAGAATTTCGCCATCTTATGCCCCTAAATAACCACTGTGAAGACTCAAGTTACATAGCAAGTTCAAGTTTCTGCCCACCCCAGGACACATAACCAGTAATCAGACCCTTACTGCGAACTCCAGGGACTCTAGCTCTCCCTGCCTATCTTAGTTCTCAGCACTCTCCCCATCTGTTAAGACTCAGACTTCCTGATGGCTGTCTCACAGGGCGGGTCAAGGCTGAGCCAGAGAGAAGTGCAGTCTGGTTCCACCACCCACT